GTTTGAAGTTCAATCAAACGGCAACGGGTTCCATGGCTCGATGTGCTTTGACATCATTCTAAGCTAGAAACTACTAGTGAGAGCTAGTGTCAGTTAAGTGACCCGCGCCCCACCCCCCCTTCCCAAACTACATCTTACTCCAACTTTAGTGCGTAGTAAACCAGTAGAGTGTTAAATACTCACCATTTTTTCTGGATTAAAGGTGTACTGGCCAACCATGAGTACCCCATGGTGACCAGTGACTCCTCTGACATGGGGCTAGGTAGCTTCGGCCTCAGTATCGATGAGTGGCAACCGTGAGAACCTCACGTTGTCCTCTAGTCCTTATTGGAATTGGGTATGCGAATGTGTGGGGGGGCGTACTTTTGCGGCTCGTTGGATGTGGCTTCTGGAGGAACTCGTTGTAGCCTCCGTAGGTGCTGCATCATCGTTTGTCTCCGGCTGGATCATCTGGGCAATGACTGGATTTTTTTTCCGTCCAATGCCTTCATGGCTTCCGCCAGGTCGTTACACACGTTCGCTCGCAGCAAAAAGATGAATTGTAATTATCATGCAAGGCTGTCTACTTGTCGATAGCCACAAAAGTACTGGTAGTGGACCTGTACGCAGTCCAGTGAGCTGTCCCAGCAAGAAAACACACAAAAAACCAAACCAAAAATAAAAGAAAACAAGCAAACACAAAACACACAACCACAACCAAACCAAAACAAAAACAACACAGAGAAGTGGGATCGCAACCAGCAATGGGAATTACATGCATGATGACATCTTGTGTGTCATTATGAGAATGGCCACCGAACAAGAAGCAAAACAAAGAAAACACAGAAACACACAAAGGGGCCAGGTCAGAGGGTGAGAAAAGCAACAAAGCTCAATGCGGAAACCAGGGATCCCCCCAGCCAGGATCCCCGAGATCACAGAGAGCAGCCGTTCAGGCATGACATTCACCCTAGCACTTCGAAGCAAACACCGACAACGCCGGGTCGCAACGAGAGTGGTGAGAAACGGAGGTGAGACATGATCTATTGTGAAAAATGACAGCAGTAGCTACGGCATTCAGGGCGCACTCAGAGTCCGCTCAGTAATTCTTTTCCAAGCATCATCATCATTGGGAGCTGTAGTGCACTCTTGCGGTGCATGCTGCTTTCAAAATTGTATCCAATGCGATCGAGTTAGCGATGATCGCTAGCTCGACAGCATTGATGCAGGCTTGCAAGCGTGGGGCTCCTTCAGTGGTCAACAAATGCATGCGTTGCAGTCAATTGTATTCGATGCGGTCGGTTGACCATGGTTGCTGGCTCAGGCACATTGGTACAGGGGTGCGGTGCGGGCGTTCATTCACTGGACAGGGGTCAGGTCTGTTATCGAAGTGTTCAGCCGAGGTTCTGAACGGGCAACTTGTGTCGTGTTGAGGTCCTCTGTAGGATAGTGTTGCAGGCTCGCTTGCATGAGCTGTAACTGTCGGCTTGTAACTGCACGTTCGGTTACATTGGCTCGGGCTTCTACACGAATGCGCAGACTCTTTTGTTGATTACACCTGCAAGGAGTTCTGTTTGCTGCAATAAAGCACAAGTGTCTTCCAGTGTCAGTTGGGCCTGCGACAGTTTGCAAACATTATAAAAGTAGGAGATCTTGTGCTTCATTGTGACTCTGGGGTGTTTGAGGCAGGCATGCCAGTTCACTCGGTTGAGCTGTATCCATCTGGTCAGACGGCATTCGAGCAGTGAAAGCAGTGCGTTGGGCTGAGCAAAACAGCAACGGGCGCCATGGCTTGTGTGGCAACCGTGAGTACCCCACGTTAACCGTGTGAGACTACTGGAACTGCACGGCTCCGGGGTGTTCATGGCGCTTGGAGGGTTGCAGATCGATGAATACAACATTGCCTGACGGCACGCTGTTTCTTTTTCAGTGTGTTACAACGGTTGCACGTGACCCCTGTCTTGCATCCAGCGACTGTGTGCCGGGTAGCGGCCTCATCTCGTTCCGGCCTCAAGTAGGGTGCAGGCTGCTTGTGATTCAATTGCTTTGGGCAACATCTTGAGTGTCAGAAGGATCAGGCGTCGTTTGTTGAAAGGCAGGGGTTGTGGACGTGAAGATGTCAAAGGTGTTGCCGGTTGCATTCATGATTTTTTTTGGAATCACAATGTCATCAGCACTGAGAGTGTGAGCGCACAGTGTATGAAACGACGTGGTGTGCAATTCCTTGACGGTGGACGTGCACCGTGTTGATGTGTGTTTTGAAAGTGCTTTGAGAGAATGTGCACGTCCCTCAATTTTATTTCAGAACTGCACGGCCGAAGCGGCAAGCAGAAAAGTCCAAAAAGAAGATGAGGGAAGGGCAAGGACGTTCCTTTGAGAAAGCCAATGGAAGCCAGTGCATTTCAGTGATTTTAACATTCACAGTCTTGTTTTGTGATGTCAACCGCATCGTTTGCGCGTGCGGCTTCAGACAGCTTGTAGAGAGCTAAGGGACGAAGGTCCAGCGTTAGTCATGAGTTTGTTTTCAGGACTCAAACGTAGACTCTTCAGTGTTGAAGCCACACTAAACAGATGTTATGAACTTTCAAACATTCTTTTTCCAGTTTTTGTTCCTCACTTAGTGACCCGCGTCGGCAACATGTCGCTGGTAGACAGCGGTGCAGTCTTTGAAACAAGGGCAAAGGCCATAGCCATTTCAGATGGAGTTCTGAATGCGATGGCATTGAGGGGATGGACAACTCATGCCACGTTTGCCTTTGCAGTGGCTTGTCAGCCGGGAGCAGACGAGCAAGCGTTCCTTGACGGAGTGGTCATTCCGATTTTGGGGGCGGCTGAACATGCCGAAGCTCCAAGAGTGAGACGATTATTTTTTGAGTCTCATACACTTACGTCGGCCGACTTGAGACGTAAGGTTGACTCAAATGAGATGGAAGCACCCCGGAAGTTGCCACCGCCAGAGATAGCGCAACGCTTGGACCTCTTACAAGCCAGAATACAACCACTGAAGATTGCAAACGTTTTGGAACCTTCACACCAGTTAATCAACGCCATCGTCCAGTGCGTTGAAGATGGAAGGGTCCGCTACATTGAGTGGTCGAAATGCACTTCAAGGACCCAGGAAGTCAACAATGTGAAGGAAGACAATGACATGCGCATATGGAAGGCTGACTCTGCAAGTTCTATCAAGGCGGCATACAAAGAGCCATCCATAGTGGCCAACCTCTCAACTGAACTTGATGTGCATAACGCCTTGCGAAGGAGGGGCATCGCATATGAGGTGGCCCAAGCCATGTCATTCGAGACCCACGAGAAGATTATCAATTTCTTCTTTTATGAATTGAAGAAAGAGCCGATGGAAGGGTTTGCACCGGTATCGTTACAGCAACTAGCAGCTGCTGACCGCGAGCTTCACATCAGGCTTGCTGAAATGACTAGGGCCGGGTTCAAGCCGGGCCCTGCAGGTGAACTGCCATTGGATCTTCCGACAGATCAAGTGTTGGAAGGGCCAGAACTCAGGTGGATGCTGATGCCGGTCCCAAAACGGAATGTTGCCAAGGCGCCAATGGAGACGCCAAAGTTGACGAAGCCTACACCAGAGGTGGATTCAAAGCGGAACAGGAATGAGCAGCCAAAGAAGAACAAGCAGGAAGCACTGAGGTTGAAGCGTCTCAAGAGGACCCCTATGCCGAAACAACTCACAGGTTGCACACCCTGTGACGATGAAGGAAATCCTTATTGCTTTGCATTCAACCTTGGAACTTGTTCAAGTGCGACAGACTGCGCGAAAGGCAAGCATCTGTGTTGCAAGAAAGGATGCGGGAAGAAGCATGCCTACATCACAGCCCACAAACAAGGGTCGTGACTAGGCCCTGGTCATCAGCAGCAGTGCCATGACAAGCAAGAGGGCGAAGGCCCTATGGTGGATCTATTGCGAAAGCGCAGCAGCTCCGCCACTTCAGGCGAAAAGCGCCAAGACTTTGGATCGCAGCCGAAGCGAATGCGCTCGGAAGTGGTTCAGCCTGCAGCCGAAGGGTTTCAGGACAAAGCGGAGTTGTCCGCGCCTACTTTTTTCTGAACCATCTAAATGTGGATGGTGACAAAACGCCTGTGGAAGCACATGCGAAAAGATCCTTGTTTTTGCTTGACTTGTTTTGTGGAACGGCTGGTGTTGCGGCAGCCTTCAAGGCTATTGGTGGTGATGCGTTGGGCATTGATCACATGGTAGACAAAAGGAGAGTGAAAGGACCAGTGGCAAAGGTGGACCTTGCGCACCATGATGGACAAAGCACCGTGCTATCTTGGATACAGGATGGGAAAGTAGATGCGGTGATGTTAGCACCGCCCTGCGGCACTTCAAGCAGGGCAAGGGAAATCCCTCTGCCGAGAAAGGGCATGCAACCAGTGCCCCTCAGGTCAGACCGTTGGCCAAACGGCCTGCCCCACCTGCAAGGTGTGGCGAAACTCAAAGTTATCACTGCAAACAAGTTGTACAAGTTTTCCATGAAGGTCATCAAGCTTTGCGTCCAAAGGGGCATCCCAGTGATATGTGAGAACCCGAAAAGGTCCTTGATGTGGCTTACCGAGCCCTTTTCAGAGCGGCCTGAGCAGAAAGAGCACAGCTTTTCTCATGAATGTTGCAGCTGAAAATTTACAGACAGAGTGCGATGGCCTTCACACTCACCTCCCCCGATGGGACAGGGCTTAAATTTCAACAAGCCTTGAAACTGAATACCCACAACAACTTTGCAAACAGCTGGCGTTGGCTTTCCTAGAGCAGTTGCAGCGGCAAGGCAAAGTACCTCAACAATTGGAGCAATATGAAGATCAACTGCAAAAGATCGGAGCTGGTGTACAGCCCCGCGGTGCTCGTGCCCCGTTGCTTCTAGGTGATTTCAAATTCAAATTTTTTTCCGTCCAACGCCATATGGCTTCCGCCAGGTCGTTCAACATGTTTCAAAGCATGTTGCATATGGGATTAATTGATTAATTAAGTCACGCAAAGGCCGATGCTGTAGTGGCCGCAAAAGTAAACTGGTAGAGGACCAATACATAGTCCTATGTACTGTCACGTTCATCAGAAAACAAGAAACGAAGCACAAAACCACAAAAGCAACAACAACACAAAAACAAAAACAAAAAACAAAACACACGAAAAGCAAACAAACACAAACCACCAAGCAGTGACGTGACAGTTACCAGTTTATGGGTGAAAAAGATCTAATGAGGCAAGAGGTGATAGCAAAGTATCATCTCGGCGCATGCAAATGACAACTTGTGTGCCATGTTGACGCAGGCCCATAAAACAAAACAACAACAAGACCAACCACAAAATCACAATGGGCCACTTCAGAGGGTGCAGGAAGTAACAAAGCTCAATGCGGAAACCAGGGATCCCCCCAGCCAGGATCCCCGAGATCACAAAGAGCAGCCTTCACGGCATGACATTCCACCCAGACACTTTGAAGCAAACACCGACAAAGCCGGGTCGCAACGAAAGTGGTGAGAAAAACTACCGCAGTGAAACAGGAGAGTGAAACATGGTCTAAGGTGAAAATGACAGGAAGGCTACGGCACTCAAGGCACACTCAGAGTCCGCTCAGTAGTGCTTTTCCAATCATCATACTCGCAAGGGTTATCCTTGTGCATTGCCACGAGTGCTGAAAGGCCTAGTGCTCTGTTGTCTTTTTTTCGGCATCAGCATCAAAATTGTGGTTGCGGTGAGCACCACTGTGCTAGTGCTCTTGCAAGTAGTCTTCATGGTATGGGAGATTGTGCTCGTCATCAGTGCGTGGTGATATCTGTGCATTGAGTTCTTCCGATGACGTGCTGGCTCCTCTGGCTGTATGATGATTTCAAATTCAAAGTTGAGATCAGAATTTTTTCTCAGAACCTTGGAAGTGGAACACCCGTTAAACAGCCCTCAACTGGTTGATGCGAACAATTTGAGAGCCATCAGGTTCATTCGTGACCATGACGTTGCGGAGGTTGCCATGTTCAGAGTTGAGCAACTCAAGAAGTTTTCACAAAGAGCCAAAGAACTTGCGTGTGAAGAAGCTGAGTTGAACGCTTCACTAGACACCGATGTCAGGAAAGTTTTGTCTGACAAACGTCTCTTGCTTTTCAGGAGATGGCTAGCGAGGCCGGAGTGGGAGATGAGGGTCTGTTTGATGAACTAGTGAAGGGTTTTTCTTTGACGGGCTCAATGCCCCAGTCTGGCTCGTTCCCAACTAAACTGAAGCCTGCACAGATTTCAGTGCAGCAACTGAGAGATTCAGCAGTCTGGGCACGGAAGATGATTCACGCTTCTTGCCGTAGAATTTCAAGTGATAAGGAAGTGGCCCATGCAGTTTACCAAGAAACCTTACAACAACTGGATGACGGATGGATCAAGGGCCCGTTTACAGAAGCTCAGCTCGACGCCAAGTACGACAATTGCTGGATCCCATTCAAGAGGTCGGGTTCGGGGTCACAGAGGGTCAGAAGATCCGAGCCGTTGATGACTTCAGTGAGTCTCATCAATGCTTCTGTTTCATCTTCAACTTTTTGGCATTGACAAGGTCATCAACACTGCCCGGACCTTCCTGGGATGTGATGACTTGGACTTTGGCGAGGCTAGTGCTTGGCTGAAGGAAGCACAATACAATGGCTGTCATCAATCCCAATGGCGAAGCCTCAAAGGGCGCGCTCTGGACTTGAAAGTGGCCTAGAAACAACTTGCTCGTGACCCCAAGAAGGATGTCTGCGCGTCAGTGTTGAGTTCTCCGAGTCCATAGCACTGCCTTTTGGGTCAGTCTGTGCAGTCATGGCCTTTAACCGCATGGCCCGAGCTTTGCGAATGATTCTTTTTCACCTTCCCGTTTCTTTTTTTTTCCGTCCAACGCCGTATGGCTTCCGCCAGGTCGTTCAACATGCTTCCAAGCATGTTGCATATGGGATTAATTAATTAATTCACGCAGGGGCCGAAGCTGTAGTGGCCGCAAAAGTAAACTGGTAGAGGACCGATACATAGTCCTATTCCTTATCACGTTCCAGAGAACAAGAACCGAAACACAAAGAAACAAAAGCAAAAACAACACCAAAAACAAAACCAAACAAAAAACAACCACACAAAAAACAAAAAAACACACAACCACAAAGCAGTGACGTGACAGGTTCCAGTTATGGGTGAAAAAGATCTGTTGAGCCAAGAGGTGATAGCTTAGTATTATCTCGGCGCATGCAGATGACAACTTTTGTGTCATATTGGCAGGCCCATAAAACAACACAACAACAAGAAAAACCACCAAACCACCATGGGCCACAGCAGGGTGTAGGAAGCAACAAAGCTCAATGCGGAAACCAGGGATCCCCCCAGCCAGGATCCCCGAGATCACAAAGAGCAGCCATCACGGCATGACATTCACCCTGACACTTTGAAGCAAACACCGACAAAGCCGGGTCGCAACAAAGTGGTGAGAAAACTACCGCAGTGAAACAGGAGAGTGAAACATGATCTAAGGTGAAAATGACCTCGAGGCTACGGCACTCAGGGCACACTCAGAGTCCGCTCAGAACTGCTTTTCCAATCATCATACTGCATCACACATGCGGGTGCGGTAGGCACCTCTGTGCTAGTGCTCTTGCAACTCGTCTTCATGGTATGGGAGATTGTACTCGTCATCAGTGCGTGGTGATATCTGTGCATTGACTTCTTCAGACGAGGTGCTAGCTCCCCTGGCTGTATGGTGAAGCTGTAGTAAGGCTTTCTGCGCCTGGGTTACTTCGTAACTGGCAGATATGGTACAGCTATCCAGGATACAGCCAATCTGACGGAGTTGGCGTATGGTCGCCTCAAGGTCAATAACCCTCTGGGATGGGATGTTTTGAATGCCTTGAAGCTTCTGTCGGGCCTTCTCTAGAAGTTTGGTGGCATCATCGACTTCACTGGTAGTGACCTGGCAGAGGGTCAGTTGAGTAATGGACTTTGCAAGACGATGGACAGCGGCGTACTAGTATAGTACCAATGGTCCACCCAAAACCCTCCCAGCTAGAACCGATACTATTTATCAGCATTCTAGCACGCTTCACTACGCTCGCGGTAAAGATATATATATATATATGTATAAGAATTCCTCTTGAGTGTAAACTCATCTCTCACCTTTATTTCAAAAATCTCACAAATCTCAAAATATACCAAACAACTCCAAAAACCGAAAAACATCACAAGCAAGGACATCACTGCCGTTTCGTTTCGTTTGTTTTGCCGACGGAAGATGCACAACGCCATATATCATATTTTTTCCGCTTTGATTATTTCTCAAAGTGTCGGTGTTCCCAAATCCATTTCCTTCGGGAAAACTGCTTCTCACCAAATTTCCGGGTGAGTTTCCGAGCAAGTTACGGTTTCCCCCTACTTATCGGGTTTGGGTGGGTGGGACACTTTGGTCTCCAACCCAATTTGATCCACTTACTGGCAACCATAAATACAGAATTCATTCTGATTTCTCTGCCAGTAAAATTGTTGATATGTTCATGTATTCTTTATAACCGGTTTCATCACCAAAATGAAACGACATCACAAAAAGAAATGTTCCAATGCTTTCCCAAAAAACATTCTGAAAGATTCGCACATCCGAGGTAAAGGAAAATCATGAAATAAGTTCAGGTGATCACAGGATTCACTGAAAGTTTCCTTTTGCCTGTTTAGTTGGTTTCAAGTTTTTGTCAAAACTTCCGAGAAACCAGAACAACACCGCGAGAGATAAGGAAGTACCGCGTAACAAGTCGCATAAACCGATACTACCAAGAAACGCTAAAGCGCAAGGGTAAAAGAGTTTGGACCAACCGAATTTAAACCGGATGCATCCCCTTGGATAGCATCAAACATAGTGTACTAACTAATACACTATCGCAACAAGTCACGAGTGCGTACTAGTATAGTACCAATGGTCCACCCAAAACCCTCCCAGCTAGAACCGATACTATTTATCAGCATTCTAGCACGCTTCACTACGCTCGCGGTAAAGATATATATATATATGTATAAGAATTCCTCTTGAGTGTAAACTCATCTCTCACCTTTATTTCAAAAATCTCACAATTCTCAAAATATACCAAACAACTCCAAAAACCGAAAAACATCACAAGCAAGGACATCACTGCCGTTTCGTTTCGTTTGTTTTGCCGACGGAAGATGCACAACGCCATATATCATATTTTTTCCGCTTTGATTATTTCTCAAAGTGTCGGTGTTCCCAAATCCATTTCCTTCGGGAAAACTGCTTCTCACCAAATTTCCGGGTGAGTTTCCGAGCAAGTTACGGTTTCCCCTTGTTTAACGAGGGAAGTCACCAGGGATCAAGCTTCTTCCGTTTCTTGTTTTTGACCGGCTTCGGATCTGTCACTTTACGTTTTCTTTCCTCCGCCAGTTCCATGTGAAACTCCTGTGCTTTGGCCATTAGCCCATCCAACACTAGCCACCGAGTGTCTCCTCCGACAAACTGAACACGGCTATCCCGGCTATCAAGGGAAAAGTGTTTGAAGTCCTGATTTGTCAAGTCATCTGCAAGCTGATTCCGCTCTCTCGGAATCCATTCCAAGTGAAGTTCACATCCCCTGGTTCTCAAGGTTTCCGACAACTCCATTATTAGAATTGTTAAAGGATACTTCGTGCTCATCCACTTGCTAACTGCGTAGGAGTTAGAGAGATTGTCCGTGCCTGCCTTGATCCACCAGGTACCCCTGGCACCCTTTCTCAATCCTTTAGCCCACAAGCGCGTTGCCACCAAAGTTGCTAACAACTCTAAAGATGCTATGACCCTCTTCGGATCCTTTCGGATGAAAAGCCATGGTGCCCAACTTTCAAGCACCTCCTCAGAGAACCACTCAATTATGCTACCGTCCTGTGATTGAAGAAACCCCCAATCCAAGCGCCATGTTCTGTAGCTTTAGCATCTGTAAAAAAGGTCACGTCCGCCCTATCTGTCGTACGACGAGGAGCTGGTTCTTGTAAATTGCCCCCATCTCCCGTACGTTCCGCTAGAAACCAAAGAATAGTGCGTAGCATTGCCGGTATCCGCAAGATTCCTCTTTTGTTTCTGACAGCTGATGTCCAAGCGTAAAGAGGTCCTAGGAAAGGACGTTCCCAAGTCAGCGCGTTTGCAGCGAAGCCTAGTCGGCCTAGGCCTTGCTCCATCTCTTTTGATGTAGCCCTTCCCAAGACTGCCATCTTTCTTGTCCAAGTCTCCATCCACGCAGACCTGCTAGGCGACAAGCCAAGGCGCATTGTAGTGTAATCTGTAAAGAGTCCCATCCATTCCACTTTTAGCCCCCCTCTCTGCTTCGACCATTTGAAAGGAAAACCCATCGTTGAAAGATACAAGTAAGCTAAAACAATTCCCCTTCTGCCTTCCAGTCCAGCTCCCAAGGATTCAAGATCGTCAGCAAATATGAGCATTTCGATTGGTCGTTCAGGCCCAATTATCTCATGAGTGAGTCTGATTCCCGCTGCAGCAATCCTTCCCCACCAATAACTAGCTGAAGCCACTCCAAAGGTTCCAACCCGATTGATGAAGATGTGGTCGTCATTGTTTTTGACGCGGCATGCCAGCAATCCAAGTTCTGAAGGCTCATGTAGGAATCTCCTATGAGCTTTACTTATATCCCCAACAAGGCTGAAGACAATGTCACCCCTTGCTTTGTAGTAGGCCAAAAGATACATTTTCTCTCTAGCTCCAGGACTCCGTTGTTTGTCTCTGCAACGTATGCGGTTGTTTATTTTGGTGCCGTGCGTGGCGTCGTGGATGATTCTCTTTTTATTCCCGTGGGCTTCTTCAACAAGAACAGCTAAAGAGGAGACCGCCACTTTGTCACCAAAGCGTTCTTTCGCCTGCTCCAGCGTCAACCTTTCCATGAGGCCCTCTTTGCATTCTTCCGCAAAGTGCTCTCGAACAAAAATCTCATGATCCCCAACAGATTCGTAGTTGTCTCTCCAAATCTCTGACCTCATGTATGGGTCATCCTCCAACTTCCAAGACGTCTGCTCCTCGTACATGTGTGGTGTACGGGGTAAAGGCTGTAGGACTCCTACAGGATACCCCTTCTCACCTTGAAGCAAGAATCTATGATCTGGATCTCCAGCTCTGTCCAAAAGCGCTTCCATTAACCTCAAGCGAAAGGGCTGTCCCTCGGCTATATCTGCAAGACCAGCAGTGTTGTAACCTTCCTGTTGCAGCATGTTCCTCCACAGGTCCACCAGTCCATCTTTGAGTTCCTGATTTTGTACCAAGTTGCAGCCTGCTTCACCTTTCGCTGCCATCTCAAAACAAGTTCTGTCGAAATTCTGTTGCCCCCCACAAAATTGTAAAACCAGTTGGTATGAGTCACTCCTCAACCGTTTCCAAAAACCATCGTCATTCCATATGCGGTCTTCTATGTCCCACCTACCAGGTGAGGCCAAACCACATCCGTCGTGAAACATCCGTGATTTTCCAGGAACTTCGCACTTCCTTGCTTCTCCATGACCCCCATGTAGTTTCCAACCCTCTGGTTGTGATATTGGGTAACCTTTATCCAGTGATTTCTGTTTTTCCACACCATTTGCAGTTTCTCCCCCACCGCAGGCAGAAAGGGTGTGGAGTGTTGTCCATCGCTTTAGGATTTTTTGTGCAACCCACCTGCAAAAAGCACTTGGCCACTGTTCTGTACCCGCAGTTGTAAACTTTCCACCATATTGTCCAATAAGTTGCACTTCTGTTTGACGTCTCTGCAATGGACCCTGATAAAAACCTTGATCATCAAACTGAGGCATTCCTGGCGCCATGGTGTCCTTCTCCATCTCGAAATCCTTCAGAAACAAACGTGTTGGCTTCAAATATGCAGTGCCAAAATCCGATTGGTAAAACGCACAAGTCTGAAATTTCCCTGAATCCAAGAGTTCTTGCACTGCTGGCCACTGCCACATGCTCGCCGGTCTTTGCCCCCTATAGTGGCCCGCTTGTACTGCTCCCAAATCCTCTGGATTCTCAAAAGTGAGCATTGTATCCATGTTTTGTACAGCTTTGCAGACTTGAAAAGAAAAATCAGTCATAGTATTTCCCCAGTTTGCCTTCTTCCGTTCTGTCCACGTAAGTCTTGACAGACCCCTCAAATGCACGTAGGATCGCACAGGCCTTGGGCCCTTTCTGTTTGAGAAAGTCGCCCTAGTGAAAGTTGAACACGGTGGGCTCAATATGATTGCCGCATAATACCCAGCTGAAATCTTGTTTAACAAATCACGCTGAACTGAATCCTTTGTTAAATCCAAATGTGGCCGCACCTTGATGTCCACCATGTCCACTTGTACCTTAACTCCCCACTTTGCGGCGAGTTTCGTTGCCCAGGACTTGACTGACCCCTTTCGGGGTGAACCTGAAAACAAGTAAAGAATTCTGCAAACCGCCAAATTCTGTGAAACCTCCTTGCATCCATGCGGTCCCTGTCAGGTGCCTGTGGTGTCAGGCTGAACCTTCTCTTTGCAATTCAACGCGTTGTGCCCCTTTTTGTAACACTTGTTGCACATGTGGCTGAACTTGCACTTCTGATAGTTGCACTTGCCCGCATTAAATCTGAAACAGATCTTCTCTCCGTCTGGACCCTGACCTGAGCCCTTGTTAGAACCCTTTGACTTGCCCTTACTCTTTCCCTTTCCTTTTGGGTTCCATGTCCCTTGATTTGGGCTACTGTTTCCCTGTGGATAAGCCCTCTTTGAGTACAGTGCAAGTGGGGTTATAAAATGCCTTTCTTTTGTTGTTGGGCATTTCCAGGCCTTCTCCAAAGCAGCACCCAGCATCAACTTCTCCGTGGTCATGAGGTTGTATGCCCTTTTTCGAATTGATTGCTCATAGGCCAAGACCAAACTCCAAGGCGGCGTCTGGATCTGTTGACCCTGTAAGTCTGTTGAACTCAAGCCCCAAACGTAATCACCAAGCAAATAGTCTTTGTACTTGTCAAAAACATCCTTGCTAACATCCTGGATCTCTTCACGATTAACATGTTTGAGTGCCAACATCATCAGGCAGTTCTGCATCACGCTGAGGCGTCGACGTAGCTGTTCTGGTCCAGTTGGCATTGGCACTTGAGAGCTGCCCTTTTTCACAGAAAGACTTCCTTTGCTATCGAAAATGGGAACCAAGACATCGGGGTCAATTTCATCTTTGGAGACTACCTCTGCTAAGGTCTCTGCTCTGAACTCTCCATTCTCTAACTCTTGCAACTTCTTCTCCAAATACTCCTTTGCTGGAGTCACTCTGTCCTCAATATGTCCAATCGTCTTCTGGAAAAAAATTCTAAGCTGCACATAGTCACCAACAGGGATCGGCTTTGTCCACTCACGTGAATCCATCTCTGCCTCCACTTCCGCCTGCCGCTTCGCCTTCGTGATTGTCTCCTTCCAGCTGCAAATGACTGAGGCCACCTGCGCCCTATCTGCCAAGGAAGCATTTGCATCAATGTTGAAATCATCTCTCAAGACCTGTATCAGATCTTCTTCACTGCGGAAAAAGGATGAAAACTTGTTCACATTTGTAACGCCATTCTCAAAGAAATGCGCTTGAACTTCATCTGGAACATCGTTGCGACTCAGTGTAAAACGTAGATCTGAACTTCCAAGCTTCAACGCATCTCCAAGGGCCCTAGGCCCCACTAACAGTCCAGCCATCCACGCAAACGCAGGTGAAAAATACGATAGTTCACACGCATTCAACAAGTTTCAAAAGAACCTGTTTATCCAAAACTTGTGAAGCAAAACCAACGTTGTGTAAAGAATCTGATTATTTCCCCGTGCTTAACATGCCAACAGTAAGTTTATATCACCTCATGCATCCATGTCTCCTCTTCAAACAGAGGTCACCGCTGGAGCCAACAAACCGGGAATCTGCGGATTCCATTATTACCTTTTCCGGTCTCAATCCACTGAGACTGTTTGGCCCTACCGTGCAAAAGGTTGAAATGAGCAAATGACCGGCCAGGATTCAATGTTCCGATCCTGACTGCTCCTTGTTCCGACCCTCTGCAATTGATGCATTCATGTTTTTCACCTATTGGCATGTTATCAGCAAAACCACCTACTGCTCGTTTTGAGCCCACATGTGAAACGTGAAACATGACAGAGTGAAAACGCCTACCACACTGGCATCCCGAGTTCCAGAATCAGAAGGACTATGCCCTCCGATCGTCTGCCCTTCTCCACGCTCTTGAACTCAGCTGCTGGAATCACTCGAACTTGAAGAGGAGCCTGTATCAGATGATGTCTCACCTGATGATTCTTCATCCTGCTTCTCTTTTGGCCAGCATACCCTACAAACATGCGTGAACTCGGTATCTGTTGGGCGCTCTTCAAATTCCACTGACTGTTTGAAAATTCTCTCCCTCGCCATCCAGCAGCCACCACTCGCTTTGTGAAGTCTCTTGCAGTTCTTTCCAGTTGTAACTACTATGAACCCCTTGGTCCTGCTTGTCTTTCTATCATCCGTTGCACCATCGTCCAACGGTTCCTCCAGCACCTCTGTCTGTTCTGTATCGCCCTGTTCTCCTAAAGGCACTTCCACTTCATCATGGATTGCAAAGGAATCCATGGACGCCATAAGCTGTGAAACCAGCTCTGCCCTCTCTGCATCTACTATCTCCGTCTTCCTATTTCTCAACCACGCATCTGCACTCTCTGCCACGTCAATTTCATCCAAGAGACGGAATCTATCAGGTTTTCTCATGGCTTTGCCATACAGCCCCTGAAGTTGAGCTACCAGTCCATTGTAAGATCTGATATAGGTATCACTTGCTTCCGGCTTCCACCTACCAACCAAATCCCTCTTTGAGGTCTCAACTCCAAGCATTGCCAACGCTGTCGGCATCGTCGCTCTCTCGCTGTGCTCTGTCCAGAAAGATGCAAGTTCTTCCGGAAAAATTGCATTGAAGTCATAATAACTCGGCAGAATCTTTCTCAAATGACATGCATATGAAGAGACGTCCTGATATGTTGCATACTTCATCTGAAAACCTGCCCAGTTCTCCATGAACTTCGGAAGCAAATAATCACGCTCAAAGTTTGCATGCTGTTTGAGAAGTCGAAAACCAGTTTCAATCCAAGCAACATCCCAAACATATGCTTTCTCCGAAATGCAAACTGGAAGTTCCTGTACTCTCTTCCCAGGACCTGAAGTCTTGGTGACCCTTAGCGTCGTTGTCAGCCTGCCCCCTGTGAGTTGCAAGTCTGCTGGCTTTATCTTCTGCATATCATCAAAACGCAAAGCTCCCCAAATCTTAAGCAGCTTGACCCATGCCATGATCCTCAAACATACTGTTCTTTCTGTATCCAGCACCAAAGCCTCTAGGGATTCGACCGCAACTGCAGGATACCTTGGAGCCCTTCTGACAGGGGGTGTATCTGCAGCAAGTTTCTCTGTGATATAATCACGGATCTGACAAACTGCTCTTGATGTTGAAACGATGGATGCCTCTCCAAAACCTGCTGTCTTCTCAAACCATGACACAGCCTTGCAGATGAAAATGGGGACTGTTGCACCACAGGGTTCATCAAAACGACTGAAGAGGTACTCACAAAACATGCCAGGATGGACATAAGCTTCCTCTCCCCATGTAAGGTTCTTCCAAGACTGCCAATCCCTCCATGCCTTGATGTACCTCTTGAGTGTACTAGATCTCGTCTTACCAGCTATGGCCACATGTAAGCGCTCCTGGTTGACACATACCTCCATGCCCTTCAGGATGGGTGCATCAACACGCAAAAGCTCTTTGTACAACTCTTTGGACCATCTATCTTTGTGGGATTCTTCATGATCTTTCTTTGCTGTCGACTGTTCCACCTTGCACCTCTGCCTTGCACTCAGCGGAGTCCAACGCTGGTCAACTGTCAGAGTTCCTGTCAAACCAGTCGAACCTGCAGAAGAACGAATTGAATTATACTTGGACTGCATGTGACTTCCTACCAGCAATGGATCCTGTGAATGCTCACCACGCAAACGCTTGCAAAAAGGCTCCGACTGTGAAGTGGACTGCAACCAGCCTAAAATAACTTCCTCATGTAGACTCTCACAGATCAAGCCCAAACTCTCGCAAACCTGCTGTGCAATAAGTGGAGCTTCTTCCGGTTTAAAAACAGACAGCTTCTTATGATCCATACCATGTTTCTGCAAAACGTCCCACATCAACTTCTCTAAATGATTTCTCTCCAATGGTCCTCCCTCCATAGGGAACACTAGTGTTCCATGGCCACAGCCGCACCGAGTAAGACACTTTGGTCTCCAACCCAATTTGATCCACTTACTGGCAACCATAAATACAGAATTCATTCTGATTTCTCTGCCAGTAAAATTGTTGATATGTTCATGTATTCTTTATAACCGGTTTCATCACCAAAATGAAACGACATCACAAAAAGAAATGTTCCAATGCTTTCCCAAAAAACATTCTGAAAGATTCGCACATCCGAGGTAAAGGAAAATCATGAAATAAGTTCAGGTGATCACAGGATTCACTGAAAGTTTCCTTTTGCCTGTTTAGTTGGTTTCAAGTTTTTGTCAAAACTTCCGAGAAACCAGAACAACACCGCGAGAGATAAGGAAGTACCGCGTAACAAGTCGCATAAACCGATACGACCAAGAAACGCTAAAGCGCAAGGGTAAAAGAGTTTGGACCAACCGAATTTAAACCGGATGCATCCCCTTGGATAGCATCAAACATAGTGTACTAACTAATACACTATCGCAACAAGTCGCGAGTGCGTCTTTGATAGGAGTCGGTCGCTCCATTCCAGAGAACTAAGTTGTCTACTGGTTTGTAGGTAGACGTAAAGCCTCAGGGCATTCAACTGACACTCACCGTGTTGCAACCTTGGTCGAGAAAGGGCATGTGGAGGTGCGGTGGAGATCATTTGGCCGGTCGAAAAGTTGGTTGAGCGAAGGTCAAACGGCGACGGGCACCATGGCTAGATGTACTTTGACATCGCACTACCCTACCATGCAACAATTAAGGTAGAACAACACGAACAAAACAACACAAAAACCCTGAAAGGGATTATTATAACCGCCCCCCACCGCCTCCCGTCCCATACTGGCTCCGGCATGTTGACAGCAAAGGTAGTCGCAGCGGGCAGTAATCAACCATGAGTACCCCATGGTGACAACGCCGCTCAACCTAGGTCAAGTTACAGGCTGAATGCATGAATGGGAAACTTGGGTACTCTACGTCACCTCGAGTGGCTTACTGGAACTGCACGTGTGAGGTGGTGCGAGGTTCTCCACTGCTACTAGCGCCACTGGCTGCAGCAGTGGCGGGGGGTGGATCACTGCTCTCCGCTGGTCTCATCATTTGGGCGATGAGTGGGTGGGTTTGCTTGTCGCGTAGGATCCGCGTCATTTCGCGAGTGAATGCTGCAGGGTCATCAACTAGTTCCTTCGCTTCCGCTAGTGGCCTGTCAAGGACAATGGCAATGTGTGAAAACACAAGAGCGGCGTGGCAGCTCTTTTTCACAGCTCGGACTTGAGCCAAACCACACAGGTTTGACAGCTCAGTCACTCTTCTTCTTAGAAGAGTCGTGCAGAGTAAAACGCAGTGACACTCAAACGTCTTCAAACTTCTCAAACTACTTCAAAAGAGTTCTCAAGCTTCAAAAACGTTCTTCCAGCTTCTCCAAATAAAACGTCTTCAGCTCAAACTCACAAATAACCTACAAAACTCCTACCAAATAAGTTCACAACATCAAGTTCCTAAGACATGGGTCAAACAACATCCAAAAACACCAAAAACCACAAAAACAAACGAAAATCCATCTCCAAGCTCTTCCATGCACAAACTGGTTCCATTTGGTTCCAAATTGGTTCCTACCTGGTTCCTATAGGTTCCTATGGGTTCTATAGTTCACAGATCGGTTCCTACAAACTTAAAATGGTTACCTAACTGTTCACATGCACATGCATTGTTCCAAGATAGGTTTAAAGATGTTCAAGTAGGTTCAAGGTGGTTCAGTACACTGTACATCCTCTCACCAAACTTTCACACCCCTTCTTGGACAGTAGTGCTGTACACCGAAGTACCTATAGACTACCATACCGTTTGTAAGGCAACTAAGTTCTGAACCCACACAACTAAGATCCAGACATCACCAACTAAGATCCATGCTCAACAACTAAGCTAGGAACTAGCGCACAGAAAACTCGAAATGTCCTGTGTTTTAATGGTGCCCTCAGATAGATGGATGTTTTATGAGAAACGTGTCTCTTTGGCTCCATCTTGTGATCATCATAGGGCAGTGGCAGCAGTGCAAAAGAGACCAACAAACCATACCCCATAACCATCTTTCTGAGTAACCCACAAAGTGGAACTGAGTTCACAACTTCTGCACAAAGTTTTGTTTGAAAACGTTTGTCATTTGGAAACCTTGGTATTTGAAACTGTCTCACGTTTGTCATCATCATCTCATTTAAGTAAGGGGAAACTGGCACCTATGGTCCCTCCGCTGGACAGACCTTGGTGTCCAGTCTTTCTGGGTATTGGGATAGACCCTCAAAGGATACCAGGGTATCCACGCCGCTGGCATGTGACCTTGGGAATCCTAAGCCCTCAAGTTAGGATCATCCATACAAAACCCAAACAAACTGAAACATGTTTTTCAAACCCGTTTTTCCAAATGCTTGGCAACGGTTTCACGTCTCTTGGAATCTTGGCTTCTAAACCCTGTAACTTGGCAGTTGCAGACCTCTACAACTTCCTTGGTTATCAGCCCAACTTTTAGGGCAAAGTCTTGGTAGCTGAGCTGAATGCATTGAGCGCTGAACAGTGACAACAGTGCTAAGCATTCCACATGGTATCCAAGAGTCCTAAAACTCTGGATGGTCTTTGCTAAGCGCTGGACATCCAGTTATGGAGACCCTCCCAAATCCAACATGTTGTGCACTGGGGTTCAAACTCTTCAGAAGATCAAGCCAAACCAACAGTGACCAACGATCCATGGAGAAGGTCCACAACATGAGAACCACTGCAACGCACAAGGACAGAACGTTCAGGAAGAGTCCAACAACAGGTCAAGTTCAAGACAACTTCAACCAAGTTCAAATCAAGTTCAATCCAAGTTCCAAGAACATGCAATAAACCAACATGTTATGTTATGATCCTCAGTTGCAGGGGTATTTCATATGGCATTGCCATCTTTCTCATGACCCCTTGGCAGCTACATCATTGGATCATACAAGTACCTTAGTACAGAACAAAGAACAACAACAAACGACAGAGAAGTGGCAAAAACCGTCCAATGAGTCCACAAGTGTCCAACTAGTTACAACTGACATCAAAACAGATAACAGCAGTTAAACCTGATGACATCAAACTGCAACACAGTGACATGAACATCCATGCAAACTGCAAAACTGGACATCTGCAAAACCCTATCCTACTCCTAACGGCTCCAGCTTACTAGACGGCTCCAGCTCTGTACAAGGATTGCTGTCAAAAAACGAAATGAAAACTGCAAACCAAAGTACATGAAAGTGCAACTGCAAACATCGACAGTGAATCCACTCCCATGCAACTGATTGCACAGCAGATCCCATCTCTCCTTTTTCAAAGCTCATCGAACACTAATGCTGCTTGGAATGAACCTGGAGCTCATAGAGCTATTCTTTCACAAGCTGCCAGGCAAGTGCAGAGCTTTACATTGAAATCCAAAATATCAAAATGATCTATGTGACCATGCTACAGGGAAGGACTCTCAGGCTCATCGCTCCTTCCAAAACCAGCTTCATTTCACATAGATCTCGGCAGTCTCGGGCTAATTGAGTGGGACCGCCGTTCGAATGAATTCGTCAGAAATCACTCGATATACCAATTGTCCTAACGGGATGGTTCCCATGCCGTACTCCTCCGCCCACCCCGCCGGGATTGCCTCCCGACGGGCGGGGTTGGGCGAAACGGCCCGTACCATTTCCGTCCCGTCATGGGTGCGCAGGCGAATGCGCCCTGCGCGCTGCACAAAGGGCGCTGCTGGCACTGCAGGTGCTGCATGCGGTGGTGCATAACCACCAGATGCAGGTGCTGCAGGTGGAAAGCTCGGCCCTGTATGGGCTGCAATTCCTGGAGTTGTCGGGGTCCCCATTGGTGGTGGTGCCAGGGGAGGATTCATCGTGCCAGCAACTCCATGGGTAGCAGGGCCCACTGCTGGATGGGTTCCAGGTGCAGTAGGTCCAACGGAACCCCAGGAGCTGCAACACTCGGCCCCACAGGAACTCCAGTTGATGCCACACCCGGTCCCACAGGAACTCCAGTTGGTGCAACACCAGGTGCAATCGGAGCAGCAGTCACAACATTCAACTGCGTCAACGCAGTCACCATCCTGTCTACTGCAGATTCGATGCCTTTCAGATACTGCAGTGATTGTTCATGCTGCGAGCGTTTTTCTTGCTTGATTTCGTCCAACCTCCTGTTCCCTGTATTGATCTTGTCGTTCAAATCACGACAAAGCTCTTTCAGCGTTGGATTGACTTGGGATTTGCTCCCAGTCACCTGCCAGCTGATATTGTTCATGGACGTCGAGTGCTGTTGCATCGATGTTAGGAAGTACTTGGCGGACACTTGGTCCACTCCTAACTGAATGCAGAGAGCATCTATTTCCTTCTTGGCCTGCTGCAAACTTTCATTGGTAATGTCCAAAGTGGACGTCGAGGCGGTGAGGCCAATCACAACGTCTTTCATAACCTTCACCAATCCACGAATTTCCCTATGAAGTCGGCTCTTCTTTGCCGGCGGCTCATCACCAGTTTCAGCTGCACGTTTGTCGGCTGGATCAGCAGCTTCCACATCTGAGCTCGGCAAACTTGCCGCTTCATTATCACGAGGGGACGGCTTCGGCGAAGCTTTTGGAGATGCAACACCTTCCAAGTGCGTAGGTGTTGCTCCAGGCACTCCATAGGGCACGGCTTCTCCAGTTCCCGACGCCCTTGAGCTATTTGCCGTCGCATTTGCGGCATCCGGAGCTTCAGCCACCCTGTCGACCTTTGGAACCTCCGACGAGGTGTCAACGTGACTGCCCATCTTCCAAAGAAAGTGAAACAGACGGCAAAACGAAAAGCAGGTGATCTTAGATCCAGAATGCTATTGGCAACTGTGCTAGATTACAAACAGTAAAACACGGCTCCCAGCATTACCTAGACAGACAGCTTTTCGTACGGCTTCACTTCACTTACCAAAAATGAAAACC